CTTGCTAGGCAATAAAGTTGCTGTGTCAATAAAATTGCCAGATCTGCAGGCAACTAAATGGACATCTTGATCTACGTAATTATCAAAGGCAATAAAATTAACATCTAATGATTTACATAATTGATCAACGGCAATAAAATGGACAAATTGATCTTTATAGAAGATCTACATAGCAATAAAATGGACTTATTATTCTACCAATTAAATCTATCTAAAATTTTACCCGTCACACCGTGATAGCAGTGAAATTAGTGAAAATGATGATCACGATTTTCCTGGTGATCATTGGTGATGTTAGTTGGCATAGTCATCTAGTGATGCAAACAGATTATCACTAATAACGTTCCTACAGGATATAGTTGAAATTGCGATAAAGCTATTTGTTAAAGCCGTTAGGATTCTGAGAATGCCATTGTATTTTTTACCAAGCTTTCAATTTCAGTTTTAGTCATCCCTGATTTGTTAGTTTCTACATATGGATTGATCGTCAGAAAAATTGGAAAAGAAGATGATGCACTATATTGAGATAATATAAATTTTTTCGCTTCAGTTAATGCTTCTGTAATATTATCCTGAGTATCATGAAATTTGGCTATCATTCAAAGATTGTATTGATTCATTGGAAATAGATCACAAATAAATTGCTCTCTTTGCTGTTTAGGAGTCATTTCAGCTAATTTACCAATCTTTTTAATTCTAATGGAGAATTGCTTAATTGATAAATTATCCTGCACAAGTTGACCAAATACTGCTATTTATTTTAAATGCTCAACTGTTATATAAGCGGTTTTAAATAGGTAAAGAAGTTGACTAAGCTTAATACCAGGAGCAATAGTAACAGCAGGAAGACTACCTCTAGCATTCAGTACCACTGGTACATTATTTGTAGGCTCATTACCTATGATAGATCAGTCTTCATCCCATGTTTTATTCAGAATAATATCAGCACCAGTTGTAATCCTGCTCTAATTTTACCAATTTTAGCTTTCGCTTTACCTTAAATTCTTCAGCAGTATTCAAACCACTAATTTGATTACTACTATTTTCAGCATCTATTGCTCAAACAGCATTTAAGTCTGCTATACCTGTTATTTGAGAGATTATTACATCTCCAATTTTGCCTTTGATGCGAGTTAAATAAAAATTCAATGCATCACCTGTAAGATATGATACTACTAATCCAAATGCCTCTTCTCTTCCAACAACTTAACCTGCATCAGGTGTAACATTTATTTGACTAGCTATTATATATCTTTATATATTCCTAAGTCAATCTTCTAAATCTTCTCCAGGACGTTTATAAAATATTGGAGGTTTGTATCCTACCATTTCTATATGTTGTGTATTAGGTGAGTTATTTTGAAATGCCAAAATTTGTTCCTGTAAATTTAAAATATTCTGATCGCAAGCCTGAACTTGATTCTGCAAATTCCTATATTGTCCCTTTCAAAGATAGCGCTGCAACTAGTTGCAATCATGTGATACTTATTTATCACCGGTTGCAACTAGTTGCAACTCAATTTTTATTAATATTATAATTAATTGCAACCCTATGATGCTTATTTGTCACTGATTATATTCAGTTGCAACCAGTTGCTGTACTATCTTTAATCCCTTTCAATTTTGTATTTGGCAAACACAACCTGCATGTCTTCTTTTCCAGTGCTCTGTATCATTAATATTAGTATAGCGTACAGTTAATCTATGTGCAGTTCTTCTATGCTTAGCAATTTGAGTATCCTTATGCTGAATTAATAGTCAGAAGACAAAATTTTACGTAACAATTCGCCAATATGCTTTGCCTATTTTGAGCCAATTGTCAATACCCCTAGGTGCTTCTGTTTCATTATTTAAGATAGTTGTATGTAACTGTATAATTCTTTCCGCTTGAGCCTAAGATTTGTTTAATGAATGTTGTAACTGTAAATTCTAATTTCTGCTATTATTTAACTGATTTCTAAGATCATCTACTTGCCAAATTGAATCATTTAATAGGTTCTGATATTTATTCCTCTCAGTTGTGATATTTTGCAAAGTAACCTGAATAGTATTTAATGAATCTCTAATTCTATTTATAATATTGGCGGGATTTTGTATAGGCGTACTAACTCCTCTAATTTGATTTTCAATTTGATCTAACCCTCTATTAACATTTGCAATAAGATTAATCATTACCATATCTAAAGCATTTATTAGAATTTTTTATCTATGAGAATCTGGATTCTTGTTTCAAGATTCCTAACCTTATTTTCGAGTTTTATGATTTAGCCATCTTGAATAGATCCAACCTCATCTTTAAATTTTTTATCCTGTTAAAAAACCCTAAGCTGTTTTCGCAAATCCGATATTTCTGATTTAAGTTTCTCTACCTCTTTTTTATAGGCTATGATAGTATTATCCTATAATGAGATAGTTTGATAACATTGCTCAAGCTCCTTTACAAGGGATTGAATTTTTTCTCATAACTCTTATTAATAGAAATCTCATCTTGAAGCTCATTACGAAGCTCCTGATTTGTATTTAAAAGCTGTGAATATGCTGAATCAAACATAGTATTTCATCCTAATTTATAGTACTATCATAATAATTCTACCTTGAGAATAAGCACACCACAAATTGTAATAGATCCTAATGAGATACAGAGAATCGAAAAAATTTCATATTGCATAATATATATTATTACCTAACCGGGTATTATTCTAATCTTTGCTGAAAGCACTTAAAGCAAATGATATGTGTAAAAAATAAGGGCATTAATTCCGCCTAAATGAATGCAAAACTTTTTTAGAAAATCAGGAGTTATACCAAATTAATAAAACCTCTCCAAAATATATTTCTAGAGTCAGCTACAGGCGAATAACATATCCTAATTGTGTATATTAATGCGATATACTGTTTTTCACTCATGATCATTATAGAGATAAAAAATATAAAGTAGTATTTAATATTATAGACTGCGTCTTCAGATACAAAGCTTCAGTTCCACTCATATTTAAGAATAGTTCAGAAGTTGCTAGAGCATTCAGAAAAATTTATGATGACCCTAATAATCCTTTTACCTATCCTAAATTACTTTAAACAGATAATAGGTAAGAATAGATAGGCGAGATTTCTTGACTAATGCAAGAGTATAATATCACAATTCAAGTAGTCAGTCTATATTCCATTGAGGTCTTGCATTTATGAAACATTTCAATCAAACACTCTCAAAGATTCTATACAAGATCCAGTATGCTATTAAATCAATATCTTCTGATCCTAAACTAATAAGAGTATGGGTTAGATTTCTACTGGTAATTATTAATTATTTAAATAACTATCCTACGCGTCTTATTTGAAAACCAGAATCAGAAAAATGGAGACTTAATCCTGTGAAAGCAATTGCTTAGAATGAGTCAAATTTAGACTATCTACAAAATATAAGCATCCAGTTGGAAAGGATGAAATAATGTTAAAGAAAGATGATACTGTTTGCTACTTACTTGCTAATGCAGAATGGGAAAGAGGTATAGAAAATCAAAGACGAACAACTGATTTCACCTTTAGTCTAAGTCTTTATAAAATCCAAAAAGTGGTTATCATAAAGAATGAACTAGCTTTATATTATCTTGAAGATGAATTTATACTAAAGCGGAGGTTTGTGCAAGAAGAACTTATATTAATAGCTAATCTAGAAAAAGTTGGGTATCTGCCTTAAAGCATAATATCTGTGCATATTACTTATGATTTCTAAAGGAAACTAGAGATCTGATGAAGAACCAGGATCAAGCTATTGATTATGCTAGAAGACGTAGTGATCAATGTCTAGGAAGAACTGGTTGAATAAATAGACATAATGTCTATCTCTGGTCTTGCAAAAATAATGCATACCAGTGTGAGTATCCACTAAAATACATCATGAAAAAATTCGAGTGGTACTTGCTATGTCATCATACTACCAAAAGAAATGTATAATATATTTTTGAGGATCTATTAGATAAGAAATTTCTTACCTGCAGATTATCATTTTTGGATGAAATGCAACTCGATGAATATAATGAGGAATTATGTCTTGCATTTGAATATCAGGGTTTCTTACACTATTATTATAACAGTCTATACCATTAGGAGAGCGAAAGTTTAAAAACCCAGAGAATGCGTAATCAGAAGAAGTGGAATAGCTGCAAGAAGTAAAATATATGCCTTATTAAAGTATCTTATATATGTGACCTTTTACCTTTTATTAAGCACACACTTATCGAAAAGGGATTCTTAAGTATTTCTTCAAGTTAAATTAGAGAGAATTATTTTCTTGACATTTTTCTGAGACCGCATGGTCCTGCAAATTTGCAAGATTATTTTAGAATATCATTAGTAATAGTTTGTCATGAAAATAAAGAAACTTAAGCTAATTCAAAGGCTTATATACTATATTAACAAAATTAAAGATGCTCAAAAATAAAATACTAATTCTAGTGTTCCTCAATGGCCTTTCACACTTCTAATCACTGGTCGTACTAATTCAGGAAAGACTAATAAAGTTCTTAATCTCATATTTAGAAATAAGCTTTAACAGATGTTTAATAGAAAGAAAGATAGAAGCAGATATATTAAAAATGATGATTTGCTATTGATCAGTCACAAACTCAAGAAGCTGAAATATTTGTATCTCAAATCAGCCTATCAAATAATTGCTAATAGCCCAAAGTCATATTGTAAAAATATTTCATTCCACGCTTTAAAGCCTGATAAAATCCCTAAGATTCATTTATTTTCTTTGGATAGGGGTATAGTAGCTATATTCAAAGATATATATGCTGATCCAAAGAAAGTGCAAGAGAAAATTATTCCTTATTTCATTGAAGGGTACTATTACAATACCAGTTCTATATATGTATCACAGAGTTACTTTGACTGTTTAAAGATAATATGAAAAAATCTCACATATGTCTGCCTATTTAACAGGTCCTGTACTATGGATGAGCTAGTCAGAATTATGCATCAATATGCTAATGACTGGTGTAGTGTGATTAAGATTATTGATAAGGCATTATGTGAGCAAAAATTCATTGTTTTTGATTTAATTGTATTTCGTGAGCATCCATATAGGATATGGTTTAGTTAAGATGAAGTTTTGAAAAAAAGTATCTCAACTAATAAGTAGAATTTTCTTAGGTACTAAGGATAAAATGTATATTTTTTTCTGATTTTTAGATCATATTCAGATTCACTACACTTCTTCGCCTATAATTTCCTTTCATAAATGCTAGAATATATTTCCAGTTCTATAGTCAAATTACTATGCTTTGTTTTGGAAAGGATCTGATCAATAAAAGTGATAATTTTCTATCTTTAGCAAAAATAATATCCTTCAGATTCTGGCATCTATTCTCTAACAGATCAATGGACTTTTCAGCTGATGCAATAGCTTTTTTTCATATCAGGAATTATACTTTGAAAAAAACTATTAAATCTGATAATTAGGTAATTTTCCCGCTACTCTCCTCTAAATACCTGATCATGGCTACCTTATAAGATTTATATTGCTCTTGCAAGTCAAGAAGTTTTTCAATCTTTTTTTTTAATATCTGCTTTGATTTACACAATTTCTTATTTTCTTACCTTAACGAAGTTTCACAGTCGCTAGTAATAGGTTTCATCTTCTGACGCTCTTTTTGCTTAATATAATTTTCAACTATCTTATTTAATAAATCTTCTATTTCAGAATGGATGCTACTTACCTATTCTAGTGATAATAGATGTTTTCATGATGTAAGACATTACCATGTATCTATTTTGATGGAACAAAAAAGCTGGTTAAATTGCTTTGAGTAATATACGTAAAAAGATGGTATTTGTATACCAGTTATTATTACCACAGGTAACTAATAAAAAAATTTTGAGAATTTTATAGATTTAGAAATTTTATAAGAAAAATTTTGAGA